CACGACCCCCCTTTTTTGGTCTCACCACCTTTCTCGGGCTCGCTACGGCCTATTCACAAGTTCTGGGGCGTAAAACTGTGTCGCCTGTTGGTTGCCATGATCACCCATAGCCGAGAGTCCAAGATAAATCGCATAAATCGCGCCGGTGGTGCCGGAGGACCCCCGATTATAGGTGGGAAGGCCTGATTTTTTTGCGACAAAAAGTCAGGATTCATACAGGCCTTCAGAAATTTTTCGCTAAAAGTCAGGAAAACCGAAACAGGCCTCGATTTTGCCCAAAAAAGTCAGTTTTTTGCCACAGGCCTTCAGAGGCCTTGTTTTCGTCAGGAAAATCGATAATTTCAATAAAAACAGCTGCCTGAGCCTTGGAATGTCGCAAAACGGTCGCCTGTGGCCGTATTTAAAAGCCCCGCGCGACCTCTTGTCTCTCTTGTGGGCACAAATATGATTCGGATCAGGGGCAAAAAGTGGAGCTCGGCCAAATGAGATAAAACTCCGTAATCAAACGAAATTACTGGGCGATGAATCGAACTCGGGGACATCCCATCAGCTACAGTTGGTAGCTAGGGATATCCAAACCACTCCGCCACGGATCCACGTCAGGATTTCACGTCAGGCCCACTAGGCTGGCCCAAAACGTCAGGATTTCCGCACCAGGCCTCCCCAGAAAATCTCAAATTTTGTCAGGATTTCGTACAGCCCTACAGGTCAAAAATCGCCCAAATCGTCAGGAATCGCATCAGGCCTTCACACCTATAATCAGGGGTCCTGGTGCCGGTGAGCCTTAAATGCACTGGGAGCGCCGAAATTGACAGCCGTGAGATTAGCTTGCTATAAACTGAATTCCACCGAACCCTGGACGCATTCGAGTGGTTGGGGGACCTCCAGAACAAGTTCACGAGCTTTTCAGCCCCTCAGAGGCCAGATCAACGTGGAAAACAGGTAGGTTTGCCTACCTGTGCCTATCCCCATAGGCAAACCCTGTGCCTAGTAGCACTGCCTACACCCCGGCGGAGTGCAGTGAACGCTGATTCTACCTGAATTTTTGTCAAGGTCGAACGAAAGTTGAAGCAGACTTTTTAGGGGAGAGAGCCTTCCACTTCACTGACTCGATCAGCGGACCTGGTGCCCGAAAAGATGTGCATCTATCCGCCAATGAGGCAATGACGCCCCATCTTTCTATGAGAATGTCCGTGGTACTGCAGGGAGGTTGAGACATCGGTAAGCTACCTGGCCCATCGTACCCGGCGGTCTATATTGAGCAGAATTCAATCGAGGAGCGACGGCTGAAGTATATTTTTATGCATGAATCATTTCATAGCCGAGAGCAAGAAGAGAGCTTGTTTCAACTCGCCGGGAAGGTCTTCACTCACCGAACCGGCCCTGAACGTTGAACGATGCCAATGACACTGATGATCGTTCGACATTCATATTATGTACCCTGGGAAACACGCGATCTTATACACTGTTGGTTCCAAGTTGGTTCGATAGTTCAATTGAACTCTATTTTCGTTCATCGGTCTTAACCGAGGGGAATCTGTAGGCCAGCCGACGTCCCAATTGGCTGGCGGTGCATTCCACCGCCCCCATTCCACATCTGTTCCACCAGCCGTTGATCTGCGGCGCCACAACGCAGAAAACGCTCCCCTGGAGCTGCCGACATCTGCCGAAGTCTAATCCCCCTGCCAACGGTGCTCGACGCACACAGTGCGGCACAGATTAGTCCCGTTTGATTGCCGCTACTCGAAACAACTCCGGAGATATCAAATCATGATCTGTCTTTCTGTACACTTTGCTCATAACCACAAGCTCGGGGGGGCTAGAGCGCTTGTGTCGCTAGGCGTCACCCACGCTCTCTCCCCTTTCCTTTTCTTCCTTTTCGCCGCTGCCACGCCCCGCTTGTCCTAGAGACAATGGGCCTTACTTTCGTTTCTTCGTGGCTGGACCTCTTGCTTGTTCTCGGTGCTGTGGTGGGGCTCGTGCAGGCTGAATACGTTCCGCTTCTGCAGCCGGTGCGTCGCCGTCTCTCTGGCTCGGACCCAAGACGCTGAAATGAAATCGGCAGGGTTTTTTCTTCGACTACGATATTGCGTCGCAGCCTGTGCCGATTCCTATAACTGGTGCGTGGCCTTGGTCTTCGTCTGCCATTGCTCATCAGGAGATTTGTGACCAGAGCAGTGCGAGACGATTCATCTTACGTGGGGTCGGCGTGAGTCTTCCTGACGCTGAGGTGGTGTATGTATGTGTTACTGAGTGCGTGCTCCGCAACGTAGGGAATGCTATCGGGTGCGTTTATCGGGTTTTTACTGCCCTGTATCCTTACCGACTTTTGGCAGGCCGAGTCCCGTCGCACCGTATTCGATGGTCGTCTTCACATCGACATTGACCACGCCGTTTACCATTGGCACAGGAAGTGGACTCGCATTCGTGAGTCCCATACCTCGTACTTTCGATCGACGAAAATCTCAATTCACTTAGGATTGGCAAGTTCCCTTTGCACCCGGAACACAGGTTAGTCCCAACGATGTACTCGTGTCGTGGATCTGACCATATTTTCCTTGTAGTATCAAATCTGCATGGTGATTGACACCGTTTCCCGTTTCATCCGTCCAAGCTGACGATCCAGCAGTGGGACACCAATGGTGTTCCTGGGGGATGTCAAGCCATGTATACGGTCGTTCAGAACACGACCGTCACAACCCCAGTGTACGCCACAGAAAAATCCGGTATCGCAAACAAATCTCGATTGACAACATCTTGTTTCAGATGCCAGAATGTCACCTTCCCCGAGCGATTGACTGTCCAGGCCACAGTCCCTGGAGGGCCGATGTCACAGTATGGATTTATCGACCAGGTGCGTGCTGCTCTCTCCGAATCGAATGTATCTATAGCTCATAATGCGGTTCAGTGCACGGACCTCACCGTCACCCCAACATCCGGGAAGCCGCCGTTCACACTAACTGTCGCACCGCCGCTTCATCCGCCATACAACATCACATCTGATTCGATGGGTCCAATATCTTGGACCGTCTCCTTGGTGCGTAATTCTCTTTTTGACGCCGAGAGTCGTGATGCTGAAAGTCTGCTAGTCGTGGTCGTATCCATTCTTCCTCTCACTACAAAGTGCGGATGGGCAACTATGGTCGAACGGCCCATTACATGCGGGTGGTTTCGGACCCAATAATTGTTGTACGTCGCAGAGGTGTCTTCCATCTTTTATGTGCCTTGATTCTGATGAATCCTGTACAGTGGCTCCAGGGACGATGTAAGTTGCTATTCATATTCCGCCTTCTCACTGATCGTTCCTCGCAGACCGAAATCCCAAGCCCACGCAGTCGCAGCAGCAGCCGGACTCGGTGCCGCAGCTGGTGCAGCCATACTCGGCGCACTAGCCACATTCCTCTACCTCCGCCCACGAAAGCAGTCCCCTCGCGTCGACGCGTTCGACACATTCGACCAAGAGACGCAGGCTCCCACGCGTCCGGATTCCTTCCCCACACGACCGCGTGGAGATACGATTTCATCCGAACCCCCCTGGACAGCCGCGACCAACGCCACTGCCTGGCGCGCCTCTGCTCCGAATTCCGCCGCTCCGGGCCGTACACGTACGTATGTTCTGCACCACGATGCAGGCCAGGCGCCTGTGACCGTGTTTACCGAGGCGGATGCCGAGGTCGTCGAGTTGCCGCCGCGATATATCACCCCTGCGCCGTCCCAGGCGCATACAACCATGCCGACTATTCAGGAGAAGGGGGATCGATTGCCGCCGCTTCCTGTGGAGGAGGAGGGGGAACTGATTGCGTCTACGTCCGTGGCTTCGTCGTTCTCCTCGGCGACTTCACTTTTACCGTGATCTCTCTGTCTGTGCTGCTCGGCTTGTGGATATCATTCTTTGGGGTTTTGTGTTGTAAGTTATTGTAGATTTATGTATCCAGGCGAAGTCGCCACAACTAGCTCGGGAATTCAAAGCCTTGATATCCGTCAAGGGTGGAACTGAATACATGGCATGTGGTCCAATTACTCTTCACTTCTCCGATGCTCGGTTCAAGTTGCCGATAGGCGTGTGGTTCGATTCTCGCGGAGCATACTGCAGTGCCTAGAGTCGAAGCACTTTGGCCCGCTTTTGGCTTGGGAAGTCGGTGGATCGTCTTCCTAGCGAGCTGCGTGGTTCGATCCCAGCTGGTGCCATGTGACATTGAGGACATTACTTTTTTTTTCGTGCGAGCACGTCTTCAAGAAAATAAGTACAACTTGTGCTGACAATGTCTTGCCAACGGTTCAGGGTGGTTCGATTCCACCTGGCATTATCGCACATTCGGCATTTTTCTGGGTTTCGGAAAGTGGGACGTCATGCAGAAGACTTGGTGTTTCGGTGAGAATATGATGGAGTAGCGACGAGGTCTGGGACAGGAGATCTCTTCGTGTATCGGTTGTCGATGAACGTCCATGCTCCAATACTTATAGAATCACTTCCTTCTCAAGTCTGGATGCGCGGTGGGTCCACTTGGCTTGAAGACACTCGGTTAAGTTGTCGAATCGTTATCCAGGCTGAATGGATACAGACCAGTTAGTCTCTCAAAGTATCTCCCAGTCGCATGAAGTTCGAGTCGTGGTTCGATCCCACCTGGAGTGCATGGCGCACGGCGTCTGTGTAGCTTTTCACATTTGAAGAAGTAGATACAGTGGGGACGACGAGGTTCACGGTTTTTACGTACCCTATGAGTCCATCGCAGTAAGTTGGTCTCCTGTCCATCGAAAGTCTTGCTCTTTGGAGGCGTCAACAGGTGGTTCGATCCCACCGAGGATAGTTTGTAAGTTGTAACCCGACTTGTCCCTTTTTCGTGAGATGCAGTGTGGCGAGCAGCCAACACACAACCAACACATTTAACCGGTCATTCCGGGCAACCAATACATGAGTAGTATCCGCGCATGCAAACGAGAATTTTTCTGCGGTGGGCCACGATGGCGGTCGGCACCGCTGGATTGTCACCTTGGTCGACGCCCGCTTGGCTTAGAGGTAAAGCGTTTCACTTGTATCCCAGGATCACATGAAAAGATCAGTCGTTCGAATCGGCTAGTGGGCATTCCTTTTGCATCTGTGCGCCTCACTCTTTTTGCATTTCTTGTTCTCGCTCTCATCAGCCTTCTATCCAATCTGCCCAGCTTCAATGTCCTCCTGCCTCGTGTCTCCCTGGACCAGCCGTCACTCGCATTGATGCCAATGTTTGTAATCGTATGGCCATCAACAAACAAAGGCATCCTTGACCCCCAGTGAAAAGTCCGTCTGGGCATATCTGGGCATATCTGGCCATTTTACACCAGATATCCCGAGACAGGACCAGATGTGTCACTAGAATTTTGGCGCTTTATCAGGGATTTTCGGGAATCAATACAAATTTTGACATTTGTGCTACGAAAATTGCAAGAAATTGAAGAGGCCAGCAAAATCCCAGATTGATGAATTGATGGCCAGAGGAATATGGCGCTTTTCCACGATGAGGCCAGATTTGGCCAGATATACCCAGACAGACTTTTCACTGGGAGCTTGACCTCTCCGCTCATCATGCATCGTGTCTGTCGCACTTTGCACGTCTTTCGGTTTCAGCTGAAACTCTTAGAGGAAAGCACGCCGAATGGTCGGCAGCGCCACAAGACCGCAAGACCGGGACCACTGCTTCAGTTGCCGCGTCATCTGGCCTGGCCGCCTCGGAAGCGATGTGCCTCGCTACAGCCGCTACGCTGTCTCATCCCTCGCGATCCAGCGCGCCAGCACCACGCTAAAGGGAGATTCAGATGGTGGAGCTTTTACGTGGCGTGGCGTCTGGAGGTGCTGTAACGGTGCGGGGAGAGTGGCAATAGTGCGTTTTTAACTGTATCAGCGCCTTCTTATACGATTTGACTCAAGGCGGCTGGCAGGACCCTTCGTCTGCGAGAGCTGTCAAGGCAGACTCCTTTCTTCGGCCTCTGCAGCATTTGCTGTCCTCCTTTGGTCCTCCTAGTCAGTCGGACTGGAAGATACGGATCGTCGTCCCACTTTGTGTGACTGCGGTCTTTGGTATTTATGGCGGAAGCGGAAGCGGGCTTGAGTTCCCACAGTCTTGGAGGTTGGTTATATTGGGGCTGACGCCTCCCATAGCTCACTCCCTCCCTCCATGTCCTCCATGCTCAGAAGGAAACTCGTTATTGTCGGCGACGGGGCCTGCGGGAAGGTATGTAACGCTGAATGGCCCTTGCTAAAGCAGCGCTCGAATCTTGACGCAGACGTCGCTCTTAATCGTATTCTCACACGGAGCATTCCCAGAGGTGTGAATTGTACCTCCATTCTATCCGCCTGACTCTGAAATGTCTCAAGACATATGTACCAACCGTCTTCGAAAACTACGTCACCGACATCCAAGTCGATGGCCGACCAGTCGAGCTCGCGTTGTGGGATACTGCTGGGCAGGAAGATTACGACCGCCTGCGTCCGCTATCGTATCCCGACGCGCACGTCATCTTGATTTGTTTTGCGTTGGATGATCCGGACTCGTTGGAGAACGTCAGGGAGAAGGTGAGTGGATTTCTCGAGTCCCTTGGTTAGGAAAGTGACACGCAGACTTTTGCCAAGTGGATGCCTGAAGTACTGCATTTCTGTCCCCGCCTCCCTGTCCTCCTCGTTGGCTGCAAGCTCGATCTGCGGAACGATGCACGCGTTATTTCCGAGTTGGCGAGAGCGAACCAGAGTCCTGTGAGCTGCGAGGAGGTCAGCACCTAGCGATGTCTTCGCAGGAAACTCAGTCGGTTTTATTTAGGGACGAGTTGCTGCCAAGGCGATTGGGGCGTACCGGTATCTGGAGTGCTCTGCTAGGACAGGTCAAGGGGTTCAAGAGGTATTCCAAGATGCGGCTGCCGTTGCTCTCCGAAGGGACAGCAGACATGCCGGGACTCGTAGGCCGGGGATACAGTGTGTCGTGATTTAGGGTTTGCGGTGCGAATACTTGACGGAAACGGTCGTGGCGGATTCGACTTTTTAATAACATGCTGTGAGCCTTTGATTGTCTGTATCTTCGTCTCTAATTGATCCTTTGCGAAGAGTTCGGTCAGTGTATGATATCCCGATCTCTTGTGTCGTCCGAGTATGCCGAAGCGTGCCATCTGCGGCGGGGCATCTAATACTGCTGTGTGGATCTGATCCATCTTCGGACTTTGCTCTACGTGTACTTACCTGGCATAAATTCCATTCTGTTGAATCTTGTGCGTTTTTTGAGTCACCGTGTCTCTCATCTTTTACCAGAAATTATTCCAACAGCACCGCCTACTGTGCGCTAATCTACCAAGGCGCTGCACCTATTGTTTTTGGGACGACGTGAAGCCTGCGGCGGCGTCCTACCCCTAGCGGGATCGACGGCGGACAACAGCTGATATACAGCCTTTGTTCATCTCTCGTTCGATTAGGGACAGCAATATATATCGGGCTGGTGGGTAATCTTTCTTTTTCTCCTGCGAGTTCCTCTGCAGCTGGCTTCACACTACCGTCCAAAAGCAACGTGTCTCTAACACGTTTCACAGGTCCCTTTCACCGAGTCGTCTCGTCACTATCTTCTCATGATCCGGCGCTCGTTCGATTCGGGCCGGGACTCTGGTTCGCTGCCGATCATGTCTTTTTCTCATATGCATGTGAGTTCCTCTCGTTCTTCCCATCGAAAGCCAATGTTTCCTACCTTGGTTCGAATCAGAGTGGGTTTTGACGGAGTAAACATTTGCCTTACTCAACTCCGACTTAACTGTGGCCCGTGTGGGCAAGTCCGCCGAATGTTAGATTCGTGGGGTGAACATGACATACGCTCATCTCCCGTTCGATTCGGCATTATCTGAATCTGCCGTCGTCGTCTTTTGTTTTCTCGGGCGAGTTCTTTTGCTTTCACACTGGTACCTTTCCAATGTTCCTAATGGAATTCCGTTAGTCCTTTCACCGAATTCATGGCGGCGCTGCCCTCCTGTCCTCCCTCGTTCGATTCGGGGTGTGGTCTTATGCGGTTACGAACTCTTTTTTTTGTTCTCATACGAGTTGAATTCATCTGGATCATCGAGAGCAAAGTCCAACTATCACCCAAACACACGCATTGGCCTATTCCAACGACCTCAGCGCCATCCCAGGTCGGAATCTAGATGCCCTGCATCAGGATTTCCTTTTCTAAGACTGTCTGTGCCGCCGAGACCCGTTTTGATGCCATCCATGTCTTCGACGAGGGTGATTTGGAGGAAATTTCAATGAGCGGACGCTTAGACCTTGAAGCTGCCAGTGTGCCACATGCTCAGAGACTTGTACGATTCGAGGCGGGCTTCTGGTAATGGTAAAAATCTTCCCTACACTTGTGAGTATTCCCGCTCGTCCATGCAGTCTGGCACCAGAAATTAATCTGTTCCAACAGCACCGCTTACCGCGCGCCAATCTGCCGAGGCGCTGCACCCATTTTTGGGACGACGTGATACTGCGGTGGTGTCCTATCTCTAGCGTGGTCCGGTGGCGGCGGACAACAGCTCATATATACAGCCTTGCTGTGGATGTTCAAGTTTAGAAGGAAACTGGGCAAAGATATACGCATTCAAAAATACAGTCCACCATTGATACATGCAAGGTAAGTATAGATTACAGGTATTCTACATGCGCAACGATGCGGGGTATATCTACTCAATACACTTCCAGGTCCGGTCAGAGATAATGAAGGAATAAAAAGAAAAACAGTCCAGGGCATCGACGTCGATGTCTCTCACCGATACCTCGCCGGCTTCGTAAGCTTCAACTCCCAACACCCATCCGGTCTCATAGCGATCCCAGCAAACTGCGTCTCCCCAAGAAACCTATCCACCACCCGCCCACCCGCATGCCTCTCCTCCGCCACCCTCCTTGCCTCTGCTCGCTCATCCCGCACAAAGCGGTACCCGTTAACCGTATCAATTCGACGTTGGGTGTAGGGTACGGCGGCAGCGAGCTTGTCGACGTCGGCGTCAGGTTGGCGGAGGGTGTTTTGGATTGTGGTTAGGACGTCCCCGACTGTCACAGATCCGCCACCACCACCGGAATGCACGACTTGCACTCGGGTCTTATAGAGCCCGGAGGAGGCGGCGATACGGATGTCGAGGGAGCGGCAGGGGGTTGAGCATGCTGTGGAGGAGAGGAGGGCGGGTGTGAGTTGGGGGTTGTTGCGGAACGCCTCGGAGGGGAATGAAAAGTCGAGCAGGAGCGCGTGTTGTGGTGAGAGTGCAGGGTGTGGGTCCCCAGCGCGCGTGGGGGCGGCGGGTTTGAGCGTGGAACCGCCGATAGGTTTCTTGCTCGGAAGGGGAGAGGTCCAGGACTCGGGCGAGTCGCGAAGATGGTACTCTTCGACGGTTAAATTGAACCGGACCTGCTTCGACCTCGATGATGATGAGGATGCGGACGACATTGGATGGTGGGAAGGATTTGCGGAGGGCGATGGGGGCGGGAGGGATCTTATATGTCCGGGCAATTATAGGTAATGAGTCGGTACCGGTCGATACAGCTCGGGAAAGCAGTTCGATACATATGCGTCACTATCTCCAATTGGTGCACTGGGTTATAGTGGTTTAGGCGCCAGATCTTTGACAGTCAATCAAATTCAAGCTGTCCTCGAGCGACCGTAAGTACAGCATCGGGATTCCGACATTGTTCAAAATGCACAGCTCACAGTAAGCAACCCAAAAACTGTTCAATCGTGCGAGGAGACCCTATTACTTAGACGCTCACAGACGCTAAGAATCGACGTGACAGCTTTTGTGCTCGAAATGAGTGGACGTGAGTCATTCCGAACAGATTTTAGATTGCTTCTCATCGAGACAGGTTCCATTTCACGTCAACTTCCCGACGAGACCTTCTACGACCTTCTCTACCTAGACCCCGAACATCTCCGTTCTGGGGAGTAATTCAGACGAGGCTGTGGGTTGAGACAGCATAGTATGATGGCTACTTGCCCGGCGTCAGCGAATTAGACGCGCACGCCCGTCATTTAGCGCCCGGCCTTCGGCGGACGATCGGGCGGGGCTGAGTTACTGTTTGTCCGATGCAGTACCCGGGAAACCAAATTGT